GAGGCGGAGGAGGAGGAGGAGGAGGGGAGCGGCGAGTTAAGGACAATTATCACAGTTGCATGTTTCAGAGTTCGTAATACGGATAGTTCACAAAAAGCTTCGAATGAATAGATAGGGAACATGAAGGGGGAGAAAGAGGAGATCGAGCAGTCTAGACGGGTGTGCGAATCAATGCTTCGAGGAGGACGGAGAATGAGGAAATGGAATTGGACGAGGAGTGATGTGTGAGAGGAGGAGCGGGAGGATGGGGGAGTCTCTGCAGGCGCTGGCTCCGCATCCTGCGCAGGGGTGTGGCTGCTGCTTGTCACGGTCTGGAGTTTTTGGATAGCGTGTCGCTCCGACGGTTCTGACCGACCACCCTTCGGCGCAACACGCTACAGTCGGGGCCTTGAAGAAGGAACCCTTTTGGTTGGGGAGGGGTTCCGCGTTCCTGAAGTGTTTCGCAGCTAGCCTCAGGTTTTCCCTAGGTTTTCGAAGGGGAATCGAAGTTTAACTTATGGAGAAAAGGGGCCTCGTTCCTTATTTAGGGTTCCTTAGGTCAACGCCCCTACTGTATCCACGTGCCAGCCCCAGAGCGTCCGCATCCCAAGCTTTCCCGAGCCTCCCGCCCCGCGGGGCGGAGCGACGCGCCACACACACATTTGCAGGGCACAGCGTGTCGCCGGGGCCGCCGCGGCGACACGCAGAGCAAGAAACTTTGACCGTATTGTCTGCACGCCTTGCCGCGGCACGCGTTTATCTTGGCCGCCCACCAAACCGCCCCAACCCAACCCGAAGGCCACGGTTTGCCCTCCATCTCCAGTGGGGGGGGGGGGGCCGGGGAACATCGAACAAAACACGTGGAACTCGTACCCCCCCCAACCCGAAATTCGGGTCAAATTCGGGTCTTCGGGTTGGGTTGGGGTCCCAGACCCCCGACGTCATGATTTTTTCATGACGCGACCCCCAGAGGTCCGGACCTATTCGCCGGGACCGGTTTTTCATCCTGAGTTGTTTTTTGACGGTCCCGAGGGCCGGTAAGGGCCCCCAGAGGCGGAAAGTATAGAAAAACCTTCCGTCGTGATTTTTTCATGACTCGAGGGGGTCTGGGTCGGCCGCGCTGCTCCCGGCCGCCGGCTTCGTGCCATGCTCGGGTCTCCGGTGGCCGCTCGGGGCGGTGCGGCCCCCCCAGCCCCAGAACGCTCCCCCGGCCACGCGCGCAGGGGGGCAGGGTTCAGTCGGGCCTGTCCCCCTACAGGGGGATTTCTGACGAAAATCGGGGGAACGCAAGACCCGGGTTTGCCAGGACTCGGGTTCGCCATCGTTTTTTGACGACCGCGACTCGGGTTTTGACGAGGAGGAGTTTCGTGGGATGTCTGCAGCGGGAGGCCTCGTCAAAATGCAGGCTCGGCCTCGTCATTTTTTTGACGACCTCGTCGGGGATTTCCGAGTCCCCCGTACCTGGGTCTTACGTCTCCCCGAGAAAAATAGAACACATAAAAAATACCCCCAAAAAATCAGCAAAACAAATTATTACAAAAATAGTCCCTCGACTATTTCAATTTGCAAGGGATCGTGGCCTCGGGGGCGCGAACGTGGCGTAATTGCTTCAGGATTCTGGTTTCGGGGGCGCGAGTTTTGCATAATTTACTAAGGATTATAGCCTCGGGGGCACGAATCTCTTGTATTTTTACGTGTCCCGCGCCCCCCCTAGGAATTCTGAGAACCCTCCCGGGGGGCGCTAACCAGGGCCCTTTTCGGTTCCCCCCCCTCGCGCGTACAGTAACAATTTACAGTGGGAAGCAGGAAGCAGCACTGTAACAAGTGAAACTGGAAGCTGGAACTGGCGCACGGAGCAGCAACCTTGATCCTCGCAGCCTGATGGCCCCGCAAGGGGACCGGCGGACTTCGTCAAAGGCCCAGTGCGCGGTAAACGCGCGGCTTATAGAGTACACCGTTGGATGCCAATTCGTCTGCCCCATGAGATTATGATGAACACCTACCGAGATGACCCGACTTGCATGAAATGCAAAAAGCAGGACCCCAGCGAAGTCATGGTCCCAACATTGACTAGGCACCCTTTTGTCGAAGAACATGGGATTGCGAATGCGGTGCCACTCGGGATTTACAACGACGCGACACCCGTTGGCAAGACTGGTTCGGTACTGGCGGGTTTCTGCGACATCGCGTGGCGGCGCAAAAAGCACATCGTGTGGCTATTGCTGCAAAAAATACATGTGCACATGCGGGTACAATGGCCGGTGCGCTACAGATGCAGCGCAAGCAATTGTTAACAAATCATTGGACTGCTTCGCTGCTGGGACACACGTGAACGATCGCTTCGACAGGCTGCCCCGGCGGGGGAAGACCCCCAACGCGCTGAGAATGCAGGCGAACCTTTACCATTCCATGGAGCCGTCACGGAATATAGGTGCGATTAGCCAGAGCATTGCGATGTCGCGCGTCTCAAGAGATGTAATGCTAGGTGCCCGTGCCCGAAGTGCAGGTGCCGAGCCGACAGCGCGCATGCACAATGCGCCACTCGGTCTGCTGTTGGGCTGCCGTGGGACGAACGGCCCATGGGTGACTACGTCGACGAGCTGACTAGGCGGATCATCGCGGCGCGCATCGCTTGCCCCGAGCAGCTCGAACGATTGGTCAGTGGGTTGCGTCTCAGGCACGCGCGCCCATGGGGGGGCGCCTCGGCGAGGGCCATGCAAGAGTTCCAGCTCCGCTCGGGTGATTCGCTTGCGTGCGCAGAACACATCTTAGATTTGCATGCTCTCGAGGGTTGTGGGCAACGAATCAAATAATACCCCCGCAACGTGTGTGACCACCATGTTTCCAGCTAGGCTTGCATCAGGGGTAAATCGATGTCGTCTGGGGCGCCTCCGACAGCATGTATGCGCGACGAGGTTCCTACTTGGCGTCCGCGACGGCGCGCTGTCTAAGGCGGGGGCGTCAGTGAGCCGATTGTAGATTCGATTCGCGTCCCAGTCCAGGGGGTCCAGCTGCCGTGCGACGTTTTATTCTTCCGAGCCCATGATGACGCAGGTGTCGCTGGTATTCCAAGCATTTGCAGTATTCCAGGGGTACGTATGCAAGGCATTCATGGCCTTGCGGTTTCACATCTTGCCTCGGATGTCATACGCGCAGTCGATTTGGGAGTGGTCCAATGTTGGGCAGGAGCAGCTTTGAAAGAGATGCTTGAGTCGAATATTTACGGCGCGACGGATGGAATCGCCGAGGGTCGGTTGGCAACAGGTCTATTGCATCTGAAGCAAAGGCTTAGGAAGTGGTATAGGAGGCTCAACAAGCTGCACGCGTCCTCTGAATTAAGTAAGATCGACGACGCGTCGATGAGAATGCTGGGGTCGCCAAAGGACCCTTGCTTGTCTGCCAAAGGAGGGGGGGGGGGGGGCGAGGTATCATGGGCTTCATTTTGCAAGAAATGATGACATAGTGTGACAAGTTGAGGAACTGTTCGGTGCCTGCGGACCTGTTTGAGGCCGGCTGCGCTTTGAAATAATTGTATACGTTGATGTCCGCATAGAGCAGAAGGATTATTGTAGAAGTGCGACACCAGTTGATGGAACACCGTGTCAAACATTGCGCCTTGCATGGTGCAGTTGGTTTCAATTATTATCCGAAGCGCCACCTTTTCGTTCGCCTCACCAAAAACGTGAGTGACAGCGGCAATTTCAGGTTTCACACTACATACGAAGATGAAGCACTCAACCTTCTGATTCGCAACGTCGGGAAACATCGCATCCCGACAACTGTGCACTTTCTGTGTTCGAGCGTTTGCTCGTTGGCGAGTATTTGTGCTGATCCTTGCCAGGTGGGATATAAGTACGTATATATGCATACGTATCGACACCTGCATCATCATGATCACCATCATCTTCGTCATCATGATCATCATCATCGCCATCATCATCATAATTCGCATCGTCATCACCATCGCCATCACCAGCATCAGCATCATCACCATCATCATCACCATCGTCATCACCATTCTCATCATCAGCATCGTCGTCATCATTTTCATCCGCATGGCCATCATCATCATCATGATCATCATCATGATCATCATCATCATCATCATCATCATCATCATCATCATCATCATCATCATCATCATCATCATCATCATCATCATCATCATCTCCATCATCAATATCACCATAGTCATCATGGCCATCATCCTCGTCACCATCGCCGTGATTCATTCACTTTCACATCATTGTCCTCATCGTCATCGTCATCATCATCACCATCATCAACATCATCATTATCATGATTACCATCAGATGACCATCAACAGCAGCATCACCACCAACATTCGTTGAAGGCCCCGCCACCTGCCACTCGCTGCCCCGACGCCGCTTTGCTGTCTTAGCGAGAACGTTGAAACATGCTCCCCGTGCAGGGCTTCGCCCTCCCCGCCGCACCCATCACACGCTTCGCGGCACCATCGCGAGCTCCACTGACGGCCCGGATGGCTGTGTCGCTTCGCAGCCTCACCGAGAGAGCTTTTAGAAATGGCGCTAGAGTAGGAGTATCTAGTGCATCGAAGTCGATTTGGCAATTGTCGAAATTCAGGGCTGGACTCAAAATTTAGGTCTGGACTCATTTTAGGTCTGGACTCCAAATTTAGGTCTGGGCTCAAAAAACGCTGGTTCTGCCAGAAGTCTCAAATTTTCGGTTTCGTTGCCCAAACCAGCGTTTATGAATCGGATCCAGAATCTGATGTTGGGTGAAGCTGTGGGAAATCGGATCCAGGGTGAAACACTGTACCAAATGGACGCCGGGAGGGCCCAATGACCAGATTTGGCTTCATCCCCCCTCCTGGCCCATCCTCTGTGGTCCCAACCAGTTCCGGCCTCCGGCCGCCTCCAAAGCTCGAGGTTGGCTATTGTGAAACCCTTACGGCCGGTGCCGCCGACCCTGAAGACGACGACGACGACGACAACGCTGGTTATCGCTGCGAGTATTGCACGACCTTTGCGCCTGCCCAGGACGAGCGCCGCGTGGCGGCCATGACCGACCACGCCCTGAGGGTGCACGCCACCTCGGGCGCGGCGGTGCTCGCCAATGCCGCGGAGCTGGAGGACGGATGCGCAAGGATGGGGGGTGAGGAGCACGAGGAGGAAGATCACCAGGATAAGTTTGCAAGAGGGGGACGGAGAGGAGGAGGAGGAGGAGGAGGAGGAGGAGGAGGAGGAGGAGGAGGAGGAGGAGGAGGAGGAGGAGGAGGAGGAGGAGGAGGAGGAGGGGAAGATAATTAGGATAATTGTTCAAGAGAGGGGGAGGAGGAGAGGAGGAAGAGGAGGAGGAGGGAGGGGAGGAGAGGAGGAGGAGGAGGAGGATTAGAAGCAGGCGGGGAGCGAGGAGCTAGAGGCTGCGGTGGCAGAGGAGGAGGAGGAGGAAGAGAGGAATGGCGAGTTGGAGGAGGGCAGGGGGATAATGAATGAGGAAGCGGAGGCGGGAGACGGACGGGATGGGGGTGTGAGGAGGAGGTGAGGAACGGCAGGAGGAGTAGGACTATGCAATTTGCGGCCAGGGTGTGACCGTGAGGCCATTTCTATCAAGGAGAGCATCGGGCAGCCATCCTGTCCAGGGTCCGTGAATGTTTTGTCTCACCTGCCTGGTTTTAAATACTTTACGCAGCCACAGGGATGGAGGACGTCGTTTTTTCTCATAGCGTTCTCGCCTGAGGCTCCCCGAAGCGTTATCAGCATGTATGTGCCGATGTACATCGGTTACGCTGGTGGAGGGCGGCTCCTCCTTCAAAAACAGGGCTCTCGCTTGAGACTCCGGGCATATCCATGGCAGGGCCGTGAAGTCGTGCATCAGTCTGCCACAGATGCAGGGCGGTTCCTTCTCAACACGCGGCCGTCGATGGACACTGTCCGAGGCCTTTCTATGGTATCACTTGTTCGCGCTCCGTATGGACAGAATCGTGTAAGCCAGTTCCCTCTTGAAGCAGGGCTCTCGCCTCAGCGGCAGGCCGACGGGACCCTCGTCTTTCAGGAGGGCGCCTGCTGGAGTGCAGGGGCTCACTTATAGGGACAAGGGAGGAGTTGGGACGGGAGGGTGTATTGCAGCATCGTCGATGCGTCCTCCTGCTTGGGTATGTCTGCTCGCCGCGTTTTTCCTCCGCCTCCGCGTTTTTTCCTCGCCGCAGCTCCGCCGCGGTTTACCCGCCCATTTCGACGAGCTGTGTGCCGGGGCCTCTGATTCAGCGTCCTGGGCTTGCTCCAGTTATCCTTTTCGTCCTGGTCCCTTCCCCTCCCCTCTTTGCGACCTCTGGGCAGCCTCCCAGCCTCCCAGGACCAGGTCTACCGAGCAGATGTTCGCTCCAGGACGGACCTCTTCGCCCAGCACCAGGCGCCGCGGGAAGGGAGAGGGGGAGGCGGCCTCCGCCCCCCTGCTGCCGTGCGCCCTCTCACGCTCCTGCTGCTCCCCCCTTCTCCTAATTTCGCAGGCCTGGAGGTTGACACCAACACCAATATCGGCGGTGTGCCTCCACAGGGGGAAGAATATTCCGATCTCGGTGATGGTGGTAAGATTCTGGCTTCCGAGGTGGCCGAAGTATTACCACCAACACCGAAATCTGTGCTCATCTTCCCCCTGTGGAGGCAACGCCTTGTGTTGGTGTTGGTGCCCATTTCCAGGCCTCCAATTATTGGCTTCGCTCTCTTCGTGCAGTCAACCCGCTCAGCAAGGGTGAGCAACCTTCCGGAGGGTACCCTTGCATCCTCGGCTCCTCGGTCCATCATTGGCCACTTTCGTTGGCCGCGCCCCGCTGGAAAAGCTTCGAAATGGGCGCCCAAGGCCCTTGCATCCTCATCGCGCACCCTTGCCATACGGGTTGACTTTTATCCCTCTCTGTGCTCGCCTCGTCTTGGTGAGGGGGGCCGAGCGGTCCCACACCGCTCCATGGGTGCGTGTTCGAAGAGCGCGGCCTCGCGGTGCGGATCCGTGCCAGGACTCGTGGCCGGCCCCGCCCCGAAGGGAGGAGGAGGAGGAGGAGGAGGAGGAGGAGGAGGAGGAGGAGGAGGAGGAGGAGGACAGGAGAGGAGGAGGAGGAGGAGAGGAGGAGAGGAGGAGGAGGAGGGGGAGGAGGAGGAGGAGGGAGGAGGAGGAGGAGGAGGAGGGAGGAGGAGGAGGAGGCGACGCCACCGAGCGCCCCGCCCCGCTGCCCACCCACACCCTCGCGACGTGCCCGCGACCCCACCGAGCGGCCCGGCCGCGCCGCCGGAGCACGCCGACCCGCCGAAGATATCCGTCCGCGACCGGCCCCCACGCTCTCCTCCTCTTCCTGCTCCTCCTCGCCCTCCTCCTTCTCCTGCTCCTCCTCCTCCCCCTCCTCCTCCTCGCCCTCGCTCCTCCGCCCTCCTCCTCCTCCTCCTCCCCTCCTCCTCCTCCTCCTCCTCCTCCTCCTCCTACGCCTCGCTCCCTCCTCCTCCTCCTCCTCCTCCTCCTCCTCCTCCTCCTCCTCCCTCCTCCCTCCTCCTCCTCCGCCTCCTCCTCCTCTCCGTCCTCCTCCTCCTCCTCCTCGCCCTTCGCCTCCTCCGCCCTCCCTCCTTCTCCTCCTCCTCCGCCCTCCTCCTCCTCCTCCTTCTCGCCCTCCTCCCCTCCTTCCTCGCCCTCCTCCTTCTCCTGCTCCTCCTCCTCCCCCCCCCCCTCCTCCTCCTCCTCCATCCCCATCCTCCTCCTCCTCCTCCTCTCCTCCTCCTCCTCTCCTCCTCCTCTCTTCCTCCTCCCTCCTCCTCCTCCTCCTCCTCCTCCTCCTCCTCCTCCTCCTCCTCCTCCTCCTCCTCCTCCTCCTCCTCCTCCTCCTCCTCCTCCTCTTCTTCTTGGCAGAAAGGCCTTGCGGCCGGTGCCGCCGACCCTGAAGGGGGACGAGGACGACGACGACGACGACGACGACGACGACGACGAGGACGACGACCGCGACGTCGACGGACGACGTCGACGGACGACGAGGACGATGACGACGACGACGACGACGACGAGGACAAGGACGAGGACGAGAATGACGACGACGCCGAAAACGACGACGGTGACGCCGACGACGATGACGACGACGACGACGACGGTCCGCGACACATCCACACTGTTTTGACAAGGCAAGTCGGCGCCTGCGTTGTGTACAAGTTGATTTTGCAAACCACTGCAGCCAGCCCCCTGGTCTCCAGAGTAGGGCGTCTGTCGAGACCAAAGCTGGCCGCTTGCCAGACGCCCCTCAGTGAAAGTCAGCTTCGGTGATTGGTATTGGAAGAGACCAGGCAGCCGTGCAGTCGCCTTCACCTCTGCCCCTGCCCTCTTCCACTATCGTCCCTGCCCTCTTCCACCATATTGATCGTCGTCCTCGTCTTCCTCCCCCCCTACCTCTACTTCTCGTCCTCCTCCTCTTCTCCTCCTTCCCCTCCTCACCCCCCCGAGGCCCATGCTCCTGGTCTCTCGGACCCGTCCCTCTACAGGGGCCCGCCCCTCTTTCTACCCGCTGTCGAGTGTGTGGGCATCCCGAGGGGTCTACCTTCAATGCCCATCCGCAGACCTGCGACGTCCTGATTTTTTCAGGACGGCGTCCCCGGAAGTCCCGACCCTCTCCCCCAGGACGGGCTTTTCCTCCCGAGTCCTTTCTTGCCGGCCCCGGGGCCCGGCGAGGGCCCCCCGAGGGCCCCCGGGGGCCGAAAATGGCGAGAAGTCGCCCGCCCTGATTTTTGTTACAGTGGAGACCCATGCCAAGAAACACCCTGCTTGCCTCCAGGGTGCCCTGAGTTTCTTGGGTTTCGATTGTTTTGCTATGGAAGGCATGCTGCCCACACCACAAATCATTGGACGCCCTGTGGTCTCAGGGTTGGGTTTCTTGTGGAAGGTTTCTTGTGGTCGGGCCCCTGTTGTACGGCGCGAGCATGTCTTGGTCAGCCTCCCGGCAGATCCTGCCCCGGCAATCGGCACCCTCCCGGCAGATCCTGCTCCGGCAATCGGCACCCTCCCGGCAGATCCTGCTCCGCCAGTCGCGCCCGCGGCGACGGGCGCCTCGTGCCCCATCGCGGGGGGCTCGCCGCGGCCCTGCCGCCGTGCCAGGGCGGGGCAGCAGGGCGCCGCTCCTGCGCCGCCACGCCTGCCGGGCCCCACTTGGCATCGCTCGGACGTGTGCATTTTTCCTCGGCGAGGACCATCGAGGAGCATCCTCGATCATTCGGCGACAAAAAACCACGCACGAAACCAACAAAAAACACAGGAAATGGACGTCCGAGCGATGGCCAGGGCCTCTCCGACGACGGTGCTGGTGATGGGCCTGGCTCCCACCACCGCCGCCACGAGTCGGAGGGCGGAAGGAGGTGGAGGAGGAGGAGGAGGAGGAGGAGGAGGAGGAGGAGGAGGAGGAGGAGGAGGGCCCCCTCCCCCTCCTGCTTGTGGTGGTGGCGGTGTCGAACAAGGCCACCAGCTGGCATGCCCGCACCTCCGCCACATCGTCAATTCCGCTTTGGTGTTTTTGAGCAGAGGCCTGCGTGGAAGCGATGGCTCTTGAGGCCGCTATAGCCGTGTTCGCAGAGAGTCCTTCGGCGAAACGTACGACTCGAGCTCACCGGACGCAGGTTTTGCCGTCGCTTTCTGACGGGATTCGTCGGGCTTCCACGTTGCACGGTCGCCTCACGCTCTTCGGATTTGCCCGGTTGCCCAGGCTGTCCTGTTGCGCAATGCCAAGCAATGCGGAGCAGTTCAAGGCAAAGCCACGCAATGCCAAGTAATGCCAAGCAATGCCACACAACGCCAAGCAATGCCAAACAACGCAGAGCAATGGCAAGAACTGCCAACCAATGCCAAACAATGAAAGTCAATGCCAAACAGCGCAACACAATGCCAATCAATGGAAAGCAAAGCAGCGATTCCAAGCAACGCCCCGTGGTTGCCCAGGTTTGTCCAAACCAAGGCCAAGGCAAGCCAAGCCAGTGCCAACCAACGCAGAACAAAACCAAACAATGCAATGCGGAAACACATCATGAAATGCAAAGCAACATCAAGCAATGCAACACACTTCGAAGCAAGGCGACGCAACCTCAAGAAATGCCAGCGGTCTAGCAACGCCAAGCAACGCGACGCATTGCTTTATTTGCATTTCTTCAGACTCGCTCAGGATTTCTTTGGACAAAAGAAGGCCCCGAATCGGGGTCGCACCGGAGGAGGAGGAGGAGGAGGAGGAGGAGAAGGAAACGAAGTAGGCCCCGAAGTGGGGTCGCACAGGGTCCATGTGTTTTTGTTTGGGGTGGGCGTCCAGGGGCGCCTGGAGACCTCAGAGGCCTCGGGGGACCTTGGCTTACTCGTTGTCTATTTTTTTTGCGGGTGGCCTCCAGAGACCTCGGGGGATCTCCAGAGAACCGCGTTCACCTTCTGGCTTCTTCCCTCGGCGGATGAACCATTGGGTTCCACTGTCGCGGTTGAGAAGTTCGTTATTATATTTGCTTCTGCTAATGCTGCTCCTCTTGTGGGCGGAGGCAATCGCGGACAAATTGGAAGAGCGAATGGGCATCGAGGACTGAACGGACACCGAGGCCTGAGCGACTTGCCTTGCACATGTCTCGCGCAGTCGGCCTTCTCCTGTCAGGAGCGGGCAGCGCAACAGCTCGTGGCCCAAGGCCAGAGGCTGACGTCCTGACGGCTGCAGGCACACCATGAGGTGGCCCCACGTACTGCGAGGGTGGGGATAGATGGTGATGAGGTGGAGGAGGAGGAGTAGGATGATTCAGGCCTCCTAGTTGGGATCCGAGTAGATGGGGTCGGAGGATCGCGCCGCATCGCCGATGCATCGGCGATGCGGCTCGATGTGGGGCCCGATTTGCTTCACGCCGACGTCGCCGATGCATCGCCGATGTATCGGCGATGCGGCGCGATCCTCCGACCCCATCTACTGCGAACCCATCTAGAAGGCCTCTAGATGACCTCCCTCCTCATCCTCCTCTCTTATCCTTCCCCGCATTCCCAAAATGAGAGGTGCAGGGAACGTCCCCGTTATGTTTTGGGTTCGGCGTTGGCCCTCTCGAAGCGCGCAGCCAATACTCATTGAGCCGGCGTACACGGTGCATCCACGATGTTGCAATTCCACCCTCTCCCAAGTTCACACTCATAGGTCCCTACAAGATGTGATTTTCATGACGGGGAGTATTCTACTGTACGACAGTTGTTTGAGAATCTTCGACCGTGTCAAGTCACGATTTCAGGGATTTCAGCGCCGCGAATCAAAATGACTGTTGCGCCCTGAAGATCCTAAATGATGATATATCACCATCCATGGGACTTCAACGCCGCGCATCCGAGTGGTTCTTGTCCTGACAACTCTGAATCGCGTCAGAACTCCATTCCTGAGAAAACAACCGTGCAAGTCCTTGAAACGGCTGTGAACGTTTAAGAAGAATGCGCACGGCACTCAGGCGAGAGCCACATTGTGAAAAGGAACCGCCATCCACATTTGAAAAGCGGTTGTGTTTTTCTCAGGGAGTGCCCGCGGCATTAAAGGGGGATACACAGTTTGCAAACCGGCCGCCCTGCATCTTAGAAGCTGCAACAGTTTCTGCCACACGAATGTGCGCGGGGCCAAAGCGAGAGCCACGTTTTGAAAACAACCCGCCCTCCATCTTGGAAGCTGCTGCTCGTTTCAAGCTGGGGGCCCAGAGCGGCGAGGAAGGCTCCAGCGAAACGCCCGTCCTGCCCTTGCGACGCTTGCGGCAGGGATGACTTCTTTGTCAGGAACGGGATGGAGTAGCAGGCGGAGGAGGAGGAGGAGGAGGAGGAGGAGGTCGAGGCGGAGGCGGAGGCGGAGGAGGAGGAAAAGGGGTCCGACTCCTCCTCCTCAGCCCATTGCTACGCAGAAGGAAGCTGCGCCAGAAGCTGCCGCACGCCCGTTCAACAGGAGGGCGCCAATACATTACCATTCTTCTTCTTACGCTTTTGATGGTGGAACCACTATCAAGTTTAACCATCCAGCGTTCGCGACGGAGACAGCCGGAATCCGCCAAAGACCGACGGAAACCGCCGAAGACCGTCAGAAGACAGCCGAAGACCGCCCATGGCCGATGAGCAACAAAGGGTGTAGGTTCGAATGTGCAGGCACTCCTCCTTCTCCTCCTCCTCTTCCTCCTCCTCCTCCTCCTCCTCTTCCTTTTCCTCTTCTTCATCCTCCGTAGCCATTTTGGCTCAAGATTCCATGTCGCCCAGCGGCAACGTGGATACCGCTAGACCGCGGACAGACCCAAAACGTTCGCCCATCACGGCCCTCCTGTGAGCTCCAAGGGGAGCAGACACCAGACCCCACCGAATCGGTGTGATTGTTGTGGGTGTGCTGCTCATCGGCTCAGCATGGCGGGCTCCTCCTGGCAGCGTGGCGCGGCATCAAGAAACAGTTCGAAGCGCGACTGGTTCTGCTGCAAGGGGTGCGTCAACAAGCAGGGAGGCAAGTTGTGGGACTGGGGCTCTTCGGACAAGCGCGCGAAGTGTTAGTTATAAAAGTGCGTTAGTTTCGGAGGCAACCGCATCATGGGGGAGCCCCCCAAGCACGTGCCAACGGTGGTGGAGAACAAACGCAGGGCGGAGTTTAAGAGTATGGAGAAGAAATTGCAAGAGCCTCTTCGCGAATAGCGACGACGGCGGCATATCCAAGGGCATGGACATCGACGGCGAAGACGCTGGCGGTGCCCCACATGCTCAAAAGCCGCGCCGAGGGAGGCAATCACTACGACGAGGCGATCAACATGTTCGAGCAGGAGATGAATCAGGTCAACCAGCGTTTCGATAATGCGAAGCCTTTGGACGCGAAGCTCTGCGCGAATCCAGCCGTGGCGGCGAGGGCCCCCTAGGAGACCCGAAAAGGCGAACACGAAGGCGAATGAAGGGCAGCGGCATCGGCCTGCTTCCTCCTCTGAGCCCCCCATCCTCCCCCCCCCCATCCTTCCCTGCTCCTTCCCGTCCTGCCTACTTCCTCCCTCTTCCCCCTCTCGTGCTCCCCTCTCCTCCTTCTTCCCCCTCCCCCCCATCCCTCCTCCTGCCTGGGCTCCTGGCGCCCGACGCCCAGCGGCCCCGGCAGGGTGCCCCCGGCCGCGCCGCTAGGCAGCCGCCCGAAACACGGGCGGCCGCGCCGCGCGGGGGAAACGGCGCGGGCCCCAAGGGGCAGGGCAGGCAGTGCTGCTGCTGCTTCTGCTGCTGCTGCTGCTGCCACTACCCCTCCTCGTATCTTTCCTTATTCTTCCTCCTCCTCCTCCTCTTCCTTTTTTTCCTCCTCCTTTTCCTCCTCCTGTTCCTCCTCCTCCTCCTCCTCCTGTTCCTCCTCCTCCTTTTTCTTCTCCTCCTCCTCCTCCTCCTCCTCCTCCTCCTCCTCCTCGCTCCTCCTCGCTCCTCCTCGTCCTCATCTTGCCTCTTCTATTCTCTGTGAGCAAGCTCCTGCTGTCTCCGCAGCTTCTCTGCCCAAGTGCCCCCCGTCGGCCGCGCGTGCGGGCGCCTTATGCAGGCGGTCGCACAAGCGGCTCTCCAGGGCGCTGGGGAGATTTTGTTCAGGGGGCTGCGGGCCGCGCTCTACGAGCGGCTCGTGGCTGCCCCCCTCTCTGTGCTTCAGGACCAGGGGCCTCCATCGCCTGCCTGGTCCATCCAGCAGGCGGACTCGTCCGAGGGTGAGGGGGCCTCCTGCCCTCTCCCTTCGGCGGGTTCCACCTGCCCCACCGTCTGCCTCGGGCTGGCGGTGGACCTGAGCGGCGGGGTCTCTCCCTGGCTGCTCAGCACGGTCGCCGCCCTCCTCTGGGTGACGGCCGCCTGCAGCGCCTGCGCGGGCTGCTGCCTCGGGCTGCTGGGCCCGTACGTGTGGCGGAGGCTCTGGCCCTCCGCCTGGCCGCGCGGCGCGGTTTCTGCTTCACCTGAGCAGGACCGCCGTGCGGCGCGAGCGCTGGCCTACGGGGCTCCGCCTCGACCTCAAGCGCTCGAGCGGGCAGACGCCCAGCGTGCGGGCGGCGGCGTCCACGGCGGCGCCCACTGATGGCGGAGCTGCCACCAGTTGGCGGAGGGCCCCTTTGGCCCGAGCTCTACCCTTTCGCTGCGCCCACGGCGCGCGACTACGCACGATGGCGCCTAGACGACGGCGACACCAGCTGGGCGGCTATCCCCCTCGCCTCTCGAGAAGGGGGCATCCTGCTGGCCCTGCCTGGTGCCTTTCGCTCTACAGCGGAGCTCGAGGCTGCCGAGGCGGATGGCTTTGCTGGGATGATAGGCCCCTTCCAGCTAGTGGACGTCCAGCTCCAGGGGGCCGCTTCACGGCCGCTCGCCACTACCGCATCCGTCCTCGTTATAGATATCGAGGTTGCCGAGCTCGAGCTCGAGTCGCTGTACCCTCTAGAGGTCGGCGACGACGCAGGCATCGTTCCCTTCGCCGAGGTGCGCAGCCGCGTCTATTGGCCGCATCCTTCGGGGGTTCGGGTGCTTCGCGAGGGCTACGCTCGTTTGCACGGCGCCCCGCCTACCGCAGGGGAAGAGCCTCTCCCAGGGGCCGATCGGGCTACCCCCTACCACTCTGCCGACGAGATGGAGGAGCCCGAGGGGTTCGCGGCCGACGGGGAAGCCGACCGCGCGGCCCCAAGTGCGCGAGCCCCCGCGGTCGCTGGAGCGCCGCGCGGCCCGCCCGCCAAGCGCGCTGGCGCCGCCGCGCCGCCACGGGTCGCGGGTCCTGCTCCGATTGCTCCTGGTGCTCCTGCGGCGTCTCTGGACGACGGGGCTCCCATGACCCGCGCCGAGGTAGCTGCCGAAATGCGCGCCTTGCTTGCAGCCCACGCGGCCTCCACGATGGTCGGCGGACCCGAACCGCTGGGCCCCGCTCCGGCTGCCCGGAGCGCTCGGCCCGAGGTGCCTCAGCTTTTCAGCGACGAGGCGGCGCGCCTCGGGCTGGATCCTGCGGGGATCGAGGCCGTCTTGTCCCACGCGCCCGTGGCCCCACATCGGGTCTCCGCGCGCCCCAAGGGACCCACCTCCGCGCTGGTCTCGGCGTGGGAGAAGGCGCGCTCTCTTGCTGTCCCTCGGGCCCCTTCGTCCGCTTCCGGACCGATGGGCCCCCCGCCGCCGCCTGGGCTAGCCCATCCCGCTGCGGTCGACGGCTTTGCCGAGGCGGGCGGCGCCGACGGGTTAGAGCCGCCCCTTGCGGCCAATCCGACGGACTTCAGCCTCATGCTTCAGTGCCTGCACCAGTCCCTTTCCTTGCAGCAGGGGCGGGGCCATCGCCCAGCCTTCCACCCGCTTCTGGGGACCCTGAGCGACCAAGCTCAAACTCCGCCCGCGACCTCGGGCGACCCCGCGCACGCATCGGCTCAGATGGGGGGAATCGCTCGGAGGCGCGAGTGGCAGCAAGCGCTGATGCAGCACGGCCCCGACGTGCGAGGACTGATGAAGGAGAATTTGGCCCGCGTTCTGGGCGTGGAAGTCAGCGCCGTGACCCCCATGGCCATGCATCAGTACTTTCGCGAGCACAGCCCCCTCGGGGCTCAGCCGTCGACGCACGAGTTGTTGACGCATTTTGCCTTCCTCAGCGCCGAGCTGTGGCGGGCCTGCGAGGAGGGCAACCCCGAGAGGGTCCAGACCTTGCTGACTTGCCAGTGCATGTTCATCGACCAGTTGGCGGGGGACCGCGGCTACCTCGAGGCCGCTTGGTTCCTCACGGGGCTGGAGCCTCCCCCGTGTCGCGTGACCAGTCGTCACACGGAGCGCGAGGCCCAGACCCCGTTTTCACCCCTAGTGGATCCTCGCTGGCTGTCGGCGCAGGGCGAATACATGAAGGAGCTGCAAGCATTTCGGGCGCGCCTCGACGCCGAGCGCGCCGTCGCGCTCCCCAAGCATCCACCTCATCAGCCCAAGCAGCCCAAGGTCTCAAAGCCCCCCTTCAAGTCTCAGGGTGCTCCCAAGGCCCCGAAGGCGGTGCCCAAGAAGGACTGAAGATGCCCTTGGCGCCCGCCTTCTTGGAGGGGGGGCCTTCGCGTGGCCGGGGTACGCCGCCGCAGACAGTCTGCACCGACGCTGCTACGGCTGCTAGGCGTGTTTGGGCGCAGCGAGGGCGTGAGGGTAGGAATGCGCTCCTCCAGCGATGCTGTTGCGGCCCCGCAGGGAGGAGTACGTTCCGCCACCACGCCCCTCGCTCTGCTCCGAACCGCCCCTCGGATCCATTCGGCCATTTTGGCCGTCACCTGCCTCAGTCGAGCGCTCCCCCCATGGGGCCTGCAGCCCCTGAGGTTGGTGTTCTTGCTGGTGCTTGTTCTCCTTCAAGCACCCCTGCTGCTCTTGCCAACGTCGCGCCATTTGTCGCTGACTTGTCTGCCTTGCTGCGCCTGTTTCCAGGCGCGAACATTGATATCACCCACTGGGCGGCAGCGCTGTCCCAGGTTGGGATGGGTGCTCGATGTTCTCTTGGATCTTTCTCCCGCTCATCAATGCGTGCAATGGACAGGGACGACCCGTACCTTTTGGGGCCGCCTCCCCGCGATCCTTGGCCGTGCCCGCCTGCTCCACCTCTTGGTCCCCCGCCTGACGGCTTGTCGGCGAGGCGCAGGGAGCGCTGGAGATTGCGGCGCGCGGCGCGGACGCTCGCGCAGTATTCTGTTATTGCGTTGAACTGGCTCACTTTGGGTCATCCTAGCCTCGCTCCCGCCGAGGCTCGTGTCCGCGCCACGGTCTCGCCCTGCCAGGAGGGCGTCCGCACCCGTATCGAACGGTTGTGTCGGATCGCAGTTCGCCTTGCCCGTGGTGGCAAGAGCGACTTAGGTCGAGCCTTCGCCAAGTTCGACTCTACTGAGGTCTCGCTCCATGGCCTGGCCACCCATGTTGCAGCTTTGGAGGCCTCCTTCACCTCCTCTTCTTCCGTGCCCGCCCCCAT